AGTATTTCTCCTTTCTTCCTTTTAATCGCACAAAAATAGTTATGTGTGTATATTTAAGCGTTCACTACTCTACTTTTTCAGCTGCCACCTATCATTATTCCTTTACATACATCGCTTAATTGCCTTATTTTTTTATATTTTGCTTCGAACTTTTATTCTACTGAAACTTTGTGCATTCCGGTACGTGTGTATACAACTATGGTATTTCATATCTATGCCAGTATATTTGTATGTATATTGATTAATTCATACTATGCGTTGCTGATGATTATGTATAGATGATTATTTGTATGCCATTTCCATTTGCTAGTATATTTTATATCAAGATTTTTTTGCTTTTATTTATTTGTTTCATACTTTTTGCATTTGTTTGTGATACTTTTGGGCATGCTCCCAGTGATTTTGAATTTTTTTATCTTGAATTTTATATAAAATATAAAATTGATATTCTATAGATTTATAAAAATTTTCGAGAAATGATTCAATGCGCGGTGCGGCTAAAATTCCTCGGTCTATCGTCAGTCCCTCTCTTTGCAATAACACTGATTTCCCAATAAAGCTTCTTACAACGGAGTATTTTACATTTGTTAATATTAAATTTTGAAGATAAGTTAAATTAAATTTGAAAAACGTTTTGAGCAGTGGTTTTGAGTCTGCAGGTTCGATTGGTTATTTGAAAAATAAATTCCGTTTCTATGGGAGAGAGGGGCATGGTAGTGCTGTAGCAAATCTGCTGCATTTAAGCTAGCTTGTCAGATCTGTACCAATGTGTCGGCTATTCAAAATGAAAGTTAGTTTGAGATTTTGCGATTTTCACTAGATTTTTAACTTATTTAGTTTGATTAATTTTCATTCGTTTAGTTTTGCCTAGATGAGCAGTTTCATGGTTGTGCACACATTTTTCATGTGTATACATGCGTATGTATATATGTATATACATATATTTATATATATATGTATGTATATATAAATTTTAAATGGTTTACAAATGACTACTTATGTATGTAAGTAGGAGTTCCTGCGCTAACTCTGCTAATCGTTTAACTCATAGGTATGGTACCCAAATCATTGCCGGGTACTTGATTCTTTCGTTCTTTCAAAAAGAGAGAGTGAGAGAGAGGTACTTAAGTTCTTTCGTAGAGATGGAAGTTCAACCTAGCGATGTCGATAATTTACTAATCTACATGCAAATGTCTGAGTTTGATATCGTTTTGCGGTTAATACAAAATGTGGTGTGTTTCAAGTGTCACTGTGTCTGTATGTAAATAAAACCAAATCAATCTTTTATTTTCACTTGCAATTTTTATTATACTCGTATTTATGTATGTAATTGTTAATAATATGTATGCCTCAATGTAACCAAAATTAACAATCTTCTTTTATTATTATTATTAAATAGTGTCGCTTTAGTTTTTGTCTTTGTTTTGTGGTATATATATATATATATATATATATATATTTATTAATCTCTAAGTTTTGTTTTTATTATTTAATATGTATAATATATGTTTGTATAGTGCAACTATGTGTAATCTAATTTTGTTTAGTTTAACTTTTCATAGCAAACTTTTTTATTTATTTTTACACCGCCTACAGTTTTTTCGTGCATATCATCAGCATGTATCATCCCCTAGCATATTACTCGACAAATGGCGCTTAGAACGGTACAACCGTTCTCAATATATCAATTTTGCTATGCGAAATTAAAGTTATCTTAAAATTTGCAGCAACAATATATTGTTGTTTTATATGTATGTCAGTGTATTTGGTTTCAGTGTTCCATTATTTGTGTGTCTTGCCATTTAACAGTATGTTTAGTTTCGGTACGAGTTTGTGTGTAGACCTTAAATATATTTTTACAGGACAAAAACATATACATATCTTCATTATTAATGTTCTATTTAGTTTAAAAATCAATAGTGGTATCTTCTTCATAGCAATGATATTTGTTGTTGCATTTCCTTTTGTCACATAAAATAAGTTTAGTTATGTTCGTTTTTATGCTTGTTTTGTTACCATTGAAATAACATAGTTTTTGTTTTTGTTTTATTCTCTGCATGCTGAGTTGTCTGCCTTAACCATTTATCCTTAATATAGTATAAATTAGCAGTAATAACTATTATTGTTCTTAATATGTCTTTAAATATTTTAATTGTAGTATTAAATATGAGTTTTCAAATTCTAAATATCTACTATTATTTGTATATATATATATTTATATATATATGCGTGTATACATATATTTATTAAACATAAACTCCAACGATTTTTACAGAAGTAAATAAAAGCAGTATGCCACAAAAGCACATCCCTCAAATATCGATTAACGCGTCAGTGTGGTGAAAAGATGAAAATGAAAGTGACAAGACATTACTGCAAATAATTAAGATGAACTCAACCAAACAAAACAAAAAAAAAAAATGAAAACCAAATAGAAAATATTAAAATAGACTAGTAGTAAAATTAGGCCTACACACGGCAAAAAGAAATATATATATACATATTACGATATTCTTTAAAAAAAAAAAAATAAATAATAATAATAATTTAAACTAGTTATAAACAATGGCTTAATCGATAACCGATTACCAATTGTTTAACGTAATTACAAATACGAAAAATTACTATATGTGTAATTGAAATGCTGTCACACAATACATAAAACATTCTTGTACATTTTTATGTAATTACTAATATTATGCCGTCTCAATATACATAAGTATTTAAATTATTGTTTTGTTGGCTTCCAAGAACCGATGATATTTGCTTTTTGCAATCACGCGTGAAGTTAAACTTTCTACAATTTATTTATTTTAACATGATTCATTAAATATTTTTTAAATTTAATTTATTAATTAATAGTAATTAGTAATTTTTCTATATAGATTACACTTACATAGCCATACAAACATATATGAAATGCAAACATGCTATGCACATACATTTGGTGGTGTATTGATGAATTGAAAGTAAATTGATGTTTACGTAAACATAACGGTTAAAATTTAATATTATATTTTGTGTGTTTTATGAAAAAATAAAAAATTGAAATATTTATGGTACACAAGAAAGTAATGATGAAATGAGCTGTACAAATATATTCAAGCATTGTACAATAATTAGGGTTTCAGATGGGGAATATTTTTACCAGCTGTTTTGTGAATTTCGCGGTCACTGAAGTTAGATTTGTTATTCGCAATGTGTGTAACATTGAAAATTCTTATTTGTTACATGCACTCTCTTTAAGAAAAGTCTGACATTATCGATTGCAGGTGCTTATAAAGTCGATACAATTTTGTGCGCACTCATTACCTGAGCGGAAGTAAAAGTTTGAAACGTCGTTTTAATTCAAAGACCAAACCTCTGTAGCTTACTTATTGAACAAAGAAGGGATGTGAAAATCACTACTTAGCTTGGTTTGTAGAGGAAACTGATTTAAAACAACTGCACAACTGAGATTTGTGGAAAAGTTTGTCAGACCCCTTTTGAGATTTTGTTTTGAGGGAGACCTCTCGATAGTTAGAAAGGACACAAAAGTGTACCAAACTTAAAAAGATTTTATTATGTTCTGAAATTTAAATTAATGCTCACGGATTCCGTTCACAAACCCAGTTTTATTTTTTGTTGCTGTAATTGTAGAAAAATTTTCTCTCTATAAAAGAATTTGGTTGGTAGAAACCCCAATTATGTATGCAAGTTTTTATTTTTTGTGTTCTACAATGAGCGTCTTTAAAGTATTATCTTACACGAAATTAAATGTAACATCCCATACGTCTGTGTTTTCGTTTTTTTTTTTATTTTGGCTGCGTAAATATTAGTTTTAGTATTTTTAATCGCTTTGAATTGAAAAATTCATAATTTGCTTATGGCGTAAATGTTCAACAACTTTATTATTTAATTAAAATTTAAATACAATTTACATTACAATTGGAATAATGACAAAAATGGCAAACAGTATTAAGAAATTGAAAATGTTTTTGTTTAGTGTTTGCACCTTTTAATTTATACTCTTTTGGTTTGGGTTTAAAGTTTTCATTTTTACTTCATACTTTTTTCTTTTGTATTTTTATTTAGCATGTTTGGGTAAATTTAGTTTTAACATTTGAAACATCGCCCTCAATACTTAAATACAATACATACAAATTATGAAACAAATATAATATTGTGGAAAAAGTGCTTCCTTTCTAAAGAATCGAGCTGAAAGCAGAAAATAAACAACTTTGGAAAGAGCATACGTAGATACAATGGAGGCATCTCAATATCTATATATATATATATAAATATGTATATATAATTATGTATATAGTACAATACGGTCATAATATATATGTACTAGACGATGCAATACAGTAGAKTACAATGCAATGCGTCTTAATTCATTGCATATGATTTTATATAAACATTTTAACAGGAAGTCAACAGTTACAGAGTTTTGCTTTTTGTTTTTCATATACATAACTACGCACACACACACACATATTTCTGCATATATGTGTGCATGCATGTGATTTTCGTAATTATTTAAATATTTTTCTAAGAGTAGTTTTTGCGTTTGGTTTGTTTTCATAACCGACTCGCCTCGCCGCGGCCATTTGGCTATTTTGAATGCCAAAGCTGCATTTTACAGCGAACCGTTGCACAGGCATAATGCTGTGTTTACACCACCTGCTATATTTATTTCAATTTGTTACCATTTTCATTACATTTTAGAAATTTCTCTAGTTAGTTTTAACGCGGTGTGCTTGATTGTTGGTTTCGAGGTCGGAGTCGAGGACTAACAAAGAATTAAATTATTTTTGTTTATGTGTATATATATATATATATAAATATATATATAGGATGTATGTATGTATATTTTTATGCGAATAAGACGTTTCTTCTTCAAAGACTTATATATTTTCTATGTGGAACTAATGATGAGCGGTTTGCCTGTTGTTGTTGTTCGGTTGTTCGGTAATTTGTTGTATATTATGTGTTTGATTTATTTTGTTTTGTTGTTGTTGCTGTTGTTTTTTCTTGTTGTTGACGGCATTTTAATTTATATTTGTTATGTTAGACTATCATCTCTAGCATTCATTTGCGGTACGGTACGGTTCGGGTAACTATTACATAGTGAGTATGTAAATATGTTAGTTGATTTATTTTGCGTTTACTACATGAATTCATTGTATTGATGAACAACTGTTAAAAATTTTTAATCAATAATCTTAAGTTAGAAACACATTTTTTTTTTTAAATACAGACATACAAGTTATGTATTTATGGTAGTTAGTGAAAGCACCATGGTATATTTATATATAGCTTGTTACCTTGATCTTCACGTCTCACATTCTTCACACCTCCTACTTAGTACTTTCTACATAAACCGCCTCCGTCACTTTACTTCATATTCTTCAGTATTTCATCGGTTTCCTCGGGATCCTTCAATGTGTGCCATTGGGCAATCGGTCGTCGTGGTGAGGCCAACATATCGGACCAATGCCTCAATTCGGTGCCGGTAGCCATACAGCCGAGTATGCAGCGTCCAATCGGCTCAGATGTACCGATACGATCGTAATCCACAACAGTAACGACGAGACAGATTTTCTGAGATAATATCCAGTAAAAGAATTGCATCAAAATCGCAGCAAAACGTTTGCGTATTTGTAAAGAGTAAAATAGATTAGTAAGTTGTGTATAATATTTTATAGCAAATTTCCTGCATTTGTTGCGGTCACAGTTTTTTATGTTTCTTGTTCTTTTGTTTATAATATAAATATTTTATTTATCTTTATATGAAAAAAAAGAACTTTAATTAAAATTAATTATTTCAATATTTTTTTTTTGACTTTTGGTTTGTTTCATAGTTTGTTGAAGAAGAAGAGTTTTTGTTTGTAGTTTTTAAAATAGGTTCTTTCGCATGATTATCTGAGTGAGCAGAGAAGTGGGGGGAGTTGTGCACCACGAACAACTAGTTTAACGCTAGGTTTGTGCAATTTTGCGGGTTGGAGGAGTTGGATGGTGATTGTCTCAATTTAGGTATACTTAAATGTAATTACTCACTAACTACGATTACTAAGAACAACGAGAACAATGTATATGTAATAATATCAAGTGTATTATATTAGAGCAAAATAGGGTAGTATTCTAAGACTAAATTGCAATTATTCTAATTAAAAAAAATCGTAAAATTTTTGAAAACTAATGTACTATATCTATTCTGTACACTATCTTGATAACAGTCTTTTTTATTAGACTTGGTTTAATGGCTTCTTAAATCAGTTTTTAATTTAGAAATGCACAATTCTTAGATGCCTAGGCTAAAATAATTCGTTTTATGTTTACTCCTTATATATATAATGATTCTCAATCAGTATTTACGTTGTTCTAAGGGGTTGCATGGGTTACGGGTTTCAAAAAATCGAATCCTTATTAAATTCTATAACAGCTCTAGAATATTGTTCTAAATTTTCAAGTTGATCCGAGTAATAGTTTCGGAGATACAGCCTTGAGAACTTGTGTGCTTGAAGCTAGCTAGGCTTTAAACTCGTTTTTCTCGAAAGAGTTCTCGAGTATTAAAAAGAGAGAATAAATCCTCATGAAGTTTTACACTGGTCTTTGAGATACAAGTCGATTACAACTATTTGAAAAAAATGTCGCGAATTTTTCATTGTTCTGTAAAAATGTCGGTCAAAAACCCAATTTTCAATTTTTTTCTTTCGCCCAATTGCTAAGTTAAGGTTTTAACTAAAACACGTAATTTTTCACTTTAGATGCTCCTGTAGTTATTCCGTCAACGCGGGCACATCTTTTTTCCGAGGTCGCCGAATGGCCGAGTTTAATTTTTTTTATTTCAGATTTTTTTGTTAATAGTGTATGTTTGTAACAATAAAAATTGTTGAAAAATGCTGCTTTTTCCCCAAGGAAACCCATGTAGCCCTTATAGGCGGTAAATCCATTAGGTAATACACCTAAGTTTGGAATGAAAAAGTTTACGATGATCGTATTATATTTTACTCAGACTTTAGACTATTTTTCATGGTATATAATATAAGGTGCTCTAAGAATTGAGTTCTAACATGAAACAAATTATTTGGAAAATACTTTGTCTAGTTATGCATGAAGCCTTCTGCAAAGCCTTAATGTGTTTTCTGGACTAAAATCACTGAGCAAGTACTTAAGTACTTAAGGACGGCAGCGTTTAACTGCTTTCATATGAGAGTATTTTATTTAAATATTTTTTATAGATCATTACCTTAAAAGCGTTGTGAATTTGTTAGCAACCACGTAGGACCTTAATGGATACAATATTCTTTTCAATCGAGAACATAACATAACCTATATGTTTCTAGTTAAGCAAAGCCTTTTGTGTACCGTATTTAAAAGGATGCTGAGGATACTATTTCTCTATACATTCATTAGATTTGGGAGGCTTTTCACTTGTTACATATTTGAAAATGGAAAGCATAAATTTGCTCACTTTTCACTATAGTATTTTGAATTATACAAAAAACGAGTTTTACAAGCTAATTACTAAGTGTGTAAGTCGATCAAGCTGATTCAAAGATACAAAATGGAAGCTTCAACATAAAATAGCTTAGTATTAGGCGTTTACTAGTCAAGATCGATCACTTAAGCGGCGAATTGTATTATTGAACACATGCAAATAAAGAAAAATATCAGCAGTAACGGTTTTTTCTAACCTAACTAGCTATTTGATCTATTCTAAAACTATAATTGCACTGAGTATGTATATATGTATGTATGTACTAATTTCGGTATGTAATATGTACGATTATGCATTTACATTCAGCATTTTCTGGTGGTTTTGAGGCAGTGCTTATTGATCGCTTTTCACAAAGTTAGCATACATAAGCTTTGTATGTGGTAAATAAGTACATATGTGAGAGCGAGTAGAATGGCCGTAGCGCCACCCATACATAAGTAGGTATAACGGTGCGATTATGTCAAACAGTGTCAATGGATATGAGATATTGCTGTAATATTTATTTATATTTTTTTGGTGATATTTAAATGAACAATTTCTTTACGAACACGAGGCTACGCGGCGTCTGGGTTGACGTCTTCGCCCAAAGAATAATGTTCATTAAATACTGGTAAACGAAAATGTATAATATTCAATCCCATTTTGCGAAGTTGTTTTTTTGCTGTGTGTGTTTTGTTATTGGTTTGAAGTCCAGCGTACAGGGACTATTGAGTATCACAGTTAGGGGGAGTAAGAGCGGTCAGCCTGACTGACACGAAACAACGCGGCTACATTCTTTTTGGGTCTAGCTGACGCTCGGGTTATTACTACTATCTTAACTACATACATTGTAAATTTATAATTTGTATGTTAATTGTATAAAATATATGTATGTATATGTGTGTATAAACCAGTGTATTTCAAAAATTATAATTAATTTCAAAAAACTAATAATTTACAACACTGGAGTACAAAAAAGTTGTGACGACTTTTAAATTTAGTCTTCTCTTTTTTCACTTCTCAATTGTTTTTTTTTATTGTTTTATGCTTCAGTTTTAGTTTACTCCTTTCAGCTACTTGCGCGCGTTAGCATTTCTTAATATTCTTTGTTGGTTTTTCTTGTTGTGCAGTGTTCTTGTAGTTGTAGTTCTAGTGCTTGTTGTAGTTGTTGTTGTTTTGCGATTTGTTATTGCTGTTGTAATATCGTATCAAATCAGAAGACAGTGTCAAAACAACGAACCCATGGCGGCCGTCGTTATTGACGCCGACAATATTCATATGTACATATGTATAGTATATATATATTTATATGTATGTACATTGACTATTTCACGCTGCAGCTCCTTCGGAGCTTCTCAGTAGCGAAGCTTTGTATTACCAAGTGTTAGTTAGTTAGAAAATAAATAGGAGTTGAAGGAGTTGTAAGGAGTACCCACCCCATATAGTGGTGAGTATGTAAAATGTATCGTGGTGATATTCACTTCAAGGACGAAGTAGGGAAGGATCATACGAATAATACGTTTCGGAAAGGTCTGACATACTGCTGCCATCAACAGTTCGCTTAATATGGAGGGTGTATATCAATGAGTGGAAAGGTTTTGCAGAAGATTTACGGTCCTTTGCGCATTGTCAGCCGCGAATACCGCAGTCTATGGAGCGATCAGGTGGATGACATTGACATTGGTTGGCGAATTAAGAGACACTCCAGTTCTGAGAGTATTCGTCATAGTTCCCGCCACTTTCTATGGTAAGGAAAAACGCACTTGTATTCCATACATCATTTTGGCAGGCAGCTCAAATTATTAAAGCAGTCTTCTTGCATCAAAATGTAAAACATAGAAGTATCTTTTTATTTAGAAGGTAGCTGCAAGTTGTGACAACATAACTTCAAATTCTTAGTTCAAAATCGTGTAAAAATCAATGGACGAAGCTTCAATGCGTAAGGATGGTACAATGGGGCAATCAATGGACTTTTGATGGTTTACTTAGCGGGTATAAGTTGAGCTCATTGTAATGTTGCTGAAAGTAATAGAATCTAGAAAAGAAGATCTCAGGACTTAGGAAATAATACCATAAGCAGTGGGCATAGCGCGAAATCATTGAGGGTCAGTTTGTGTTATGGATTAGCAATATGACAGTCTTCCTCGCTGATCCCTGAATGGATGGCGAGGATGAAAAGATTTTGGGGCATTAAAATTGCGTATACCCATTTTCAACATACGGACTGTTTGTTTAGTCAAGCTTATTGTTGACCGACGTAGGTGTTTCTGATTCCATAAATCAATACAAAGTTTAGTTGTGGATTGAAGAGTTCCACTTGGTGAGGTCAGTGTTTATTCCAGCAAGCTCTAAGAAATTATCATTGTGAACTTTTTATTGAAAGCCAAGTTTTTTTAAACAATGCAGGGTTTCTTCGATGTTATTCCTCTGGACATTCTTGTTTTAGGCGCTTTCATTGAAGGCAAGCAATTTTCTCATGCAAAGGATTTTGCTCAATTGGAGTGAAATTGTGGACGTGTTCGATAATAATTAATAATATTAAAACACTTGTACCTTCGCTGAATCCCTTACCGCCCGCTGTGAATACCACCTGCATACATGCGATTGTTTGCATTGGTTTGAGTAGTGTTTGAATGTTGAGAGTGTCAAGTCGAAAGCGTTTTCGATTAGTGAATCAACAAAAAGAAAACTTGAGTGAGAAACTCAAACTACATAAATACAAAGTCCTTCTCCATGCACATATACAATTGTGTTAGACGGGTTTTTGAGCTCGTCACAGCTGCTGTCAGCTGACTTTTACACGTCGTCATTTACGTATGAGGCATTGCTGTGTAAGGGGAAAGTTTGCGCTGAATTCGCGTGCAGACCACACTTTGGGTGGCGAACTAAGTATTTCTTGCAATCTATGTAGCCATACACTTGTTTAGTAATACTTATGTACATGTGTACACCTGTGTATGTGTATAAAGCCGTTGAGTATCTCGCTACGAAAGCCTAAACTAGTTAGAAATTGGTTAAGGACTAATCGTGCACAGTCCTACGGACTAACACCGTTCAATGTGATTGTTTTGTTTTTGTTTTAATTTTACAATAATTAATTTGCTTTAATTTTTGTTTCTAATATAAAAGCGGAAATTAACTCAAAAATAATTTTTTTTTGCTTAAATTTTTTGATTTTGTTATTATAAATAATAAAATAACTTAAATAACTCAAATACTCAAATATTTGTTAACACATTTATGTAAGCTACACAAAAATATGGCACTTTTTAAACAACAGTTAAGCCAAAAACAAAGTACGCATGTGTATATCGCTGTTAAAGCAAAAATAAAGCATTTTCGTACTCGTATGTATGTATATACACACAGCGGTACTCTTGCCGAGTGAAAATGTAGCAGCAGTTTGCTTTGCTTATTTACAACAATAAATTCTTGAATAATTTTCTTCAACAAAAATGATAATAACAGCAACTAAGCAGCCGACTTTTCCAAAGAAAAAATCAAAAAACGGCGAAAATGAAGCCTTTTTGGTTAAAATTATGGTTATTGAGCGAACACCGATTACAAATAATCATAATTACTTAAATACTGGTACTTTGTCTAAATTACGGTACGTAGTAACTTGTTTGTTTGCTTTTCTTGCTGTTTGGCGTCTGTACGAATACTTTAGTGTGCCGGATATGTGATATATAACGGTTATTCAAACTCAATCGGTACTTGGTATGTACAAAACATTGAATGTAGACTTTCAAAACATGTAGTGGATTAGTTCGCTATGTAGGGATTTTATAATATTCTTGCGGTATTTTATTTTCTGTTTCAAAAAACATCGATAACTTTGCAAGTACAAGGCAGGTGAGTGGGAGCGGGGAGAACATTTAATATAACGTTGGTTGGGTGGTAGTAGTGGGGTTCATAGTAGTAGTAGTTTTTGTTGTTGTAGTAATAAGAGTAATTTAAGTAGGTATTTGTTTTAGCAGTTGTGATTGTAGTAGTTTTCAAGTAGTTAGTAGTAGAAGTAGTGGCAGTAGTAASTAGTAGTAGTAGTAGTAGTGGTAGTAATAGTAGTAGTTTTTAAGTAGTTAGTAGTAGGATAGTATAATACATTCTCGCATACTTGTATTTGTTCAAATGGTACTTCAAATGAGAACGACTCATTATAGTAAGGGTTGAGGGTGCATTTTTTGATACTTGTCTTCTTCTTTTTCAAACGTTTTCCATTTTGCATGATTGCAATTTTCACATATGGATCTATAAAAATAGAAAGAGAAAGTGAGAAAATCAAAAGTAAATACAAAATTTCAATTGCAATTCAATTCAATTTGTTTACTTTGTTTAATTTGCTTCAAATTTCATTAAATTTTGGTTGAACTAATTTCTGTTTGTGGCTTGGGTTGTTTGTTTTTTTTTTTTGGTAATTTATCTTAAATATGTATAGTCCACGTTAGGTTTATATATATGTAACTTGGTTATAAAATTTTCAAATTTAATAGAAAACAGCTTTACATATACATATATATGTATAAATATATACTATAATTGTTAATTTTCTCAAACCAACTTTGTAAACATTTATTATGGGGAACAACATAAAGTACTGTTTAAAAAAAAAAAAAGAACAAAAATTCAAGTAAATTAGTAAATAAAAATAAAAAAACTGATTAATTACGAAGTTAAAAGCAAATTATGCACAGCAAACGGTGCACTGAGTCTTCCTAACTGTACATTAACTATATATATAATGTCTAATATTTTATTATTGCAGTTTCTTCATTAAGATATATATACTAAACACTAATGATTACTTTGATGTGAAATTTGCCACAGATACTTTGTGGAATCTAATAACTGCTACGGTTAAAAATCATTTATTAAAAAGGGCCAGGAATCTGTCACAATTCTGCTTAGGCCTTTTTCTTATGTAAATAGCCGCTGGCTTACTTGGAACTCTTACTAAGCTGCATATGTGATCTGAAGATAAATCTGCAATTTATTCTGAGAACTAATGTCAACAAAATTTGTTCCACACTTGCTATATAACTTTATACCCTTACTTTTTGAAAAGACAAGGTAATAACTTCAGCTAATAGCGTGAGCTATTGATCTAGAACTGTTAAAGCAAGAAAAACCAAGAACTTTGGTTGTGATAAAACTTTACAACTAAAACAGACAAGAACTTGATTTTTTATCGCTCGGTTTGTATGGCAGCTATATGTTGTGTTTGTTCGACTTGAATATAATTTTTGACGATTGTGCTGTTGCATTGGAAAATAATCCATGCCGAATTTATTGAAGGCATCAGATCGCGTGTGAATCGTGTCAAGCTGTCATGCTATTTTTGGTGAGTATATTTTGGCATTTCATCGTGGAGAGATTTACGCCTGAACAACGTTTACAAATCATGTGTTTCACGCTATTCGCCCAACTTATGGTGAACATAATCGGCCTATTGAACATACTATTCGCAACACCATCACACACCTTGCGGTGGGTCGATTCGGCAGTGTTGCCAGCAACTCGGACTGACGTAGGGAACGGCTTTGAGTATTTTACGTCGAAATCTTAAATTGAAAACGCACAAAATACAGCTTGTGCAGGAACTGAAGCCGCCCGACCTAATCAAGTTCTATTGGCTCTTGAAAAGTTCCAAGAAGAACCGACGTTTTCCAGCCAAATTTTGTTCAGCGATGAGGCCCAATTCTGACTCAATGGGTATGTCAAACAAGGATGCAGAGCAACCGGAAGAGATTCAAAAGCTGACTTTTTATTTAGAAAAAACATGAGAATTTCTTGAGAAATTTTTCCTTGCTTTATAAAATTGTTCGATTATAATGGCCACTATTCGCCTTACTGGTTGGCGGTTCCAAGAAATTTTCTTTCGTTTTGAGGTGAAAAAGATGGCATAACTACCGCTTTGATTTATCCATGTGTCTCTTTTTTTATAAAGACTGTTTCCAAGTTCTTGAAGACTCAGTGGCACCGGCATTTTAATTGTTTTGCTAAACAAATGCGTTTGTGGGAGACTAAATAATAGTTCGATTACTTACGAAAATAAGATAACACCTAACTAATAAACATTGAATAACATTTTTTTAACAATTATATAACCAACTGATTTAAAATTATTTAACGGTAATTTAAACGGTTTCATCAATTCATATGTTTGTAAAAGCCTAGAAGAGCTGGATTTGATATTTTCAGAGGCAACACCGCTGCACGTAGGAGTGCGCATTAGGACGAAACAGTACGAGTTGAAAATGAAAGCGAGCGGATAAGGTAGCAAAGATGTACAGTTTAAAACGTGCGAGCCTCCTATTGCTTAAAATATACACATATTTTATAATTCAGTTTTTAATATTTTACATTGGAGCTCATTTGAAAATGCTTGGCAGACTTTACAGCAGCTTTGTTGCATTACAAACAAAAATACTTTTATATTTAAATATACAAGAATAAACTAGCATATATTATATAAGTATTTATGCAAAAATATTATTTTATTTTTAATGGTAAGAGTAAAGTAAAATAAGTAGGAATTTATGAAGAGCGCCGCACCGTGTTGCCATTTGAAAATATCGATGATTTTTAATGAGGGAGTGGTTGAAATTGTTAATCGTATAGCTAGAGAAGCGAAGAATCGGAATGGAAAATTAGTTATAAAACACAATTTAGAAAGCTACGCCAAAGGGCAAATGTGAATGGACGATTTTAGGCAAAACAAAGAAATTCATATGAAATAAAGTTAATAAAATATTGCATGGATTGACTTTCGAAAGCTAATTTTTGCAAGCAATGGAAATATATATAAATATAGTGTACATAAAATCGTCCACTTGCTAAATTGGAGTAATAAAAAATATAGCAACATAGTCCCAAGCAATTTTCAAAAGTTAAATAAGTAGTTTATATTTTTTTCTGTTAAAAAAGTAATTAAGTAATTTTGGCATGCATAAACCCCCGAGAAAAGGCTAGTAAATATACCTACATGTACTAAATAAAACAAAACTACACAAACACTTATTGGACACAACATTTATTGTGTAACGGTTTCGCAAAAGCCCGATGCAAGGACGACAGTTTCACGTTGTGGAATGCAGATTTGCAAGTTTTATAACTGTTTCGGGTTTCTCGCTGCTTATAACGGTGCAATTATAAGACCCGATTGCATTCAACGAAAAAGGCAAATTTGAAAAACTGTCGAACTTCTTGCATCGCATTGGCGCCACAATTTATTACCAGACAATCCGCCGACGTCCATCTTCTTCAAGTTCTTTGCTTCCAAGATGACCACAGTTAGCTTGCCAGCAGTGGGAACGTAACGCAGTGAGAAGCAGATGTCTCCAAGCTTTTCCTATATACACATATTTTTGTTTTTAAGTCATAATATCGTGTGAGAGAATTGGCAAAGAGAAGAAAAGAAAAGAGAAAAAATCCAAAAATATTATTATTCATTTGCCTTAATTCTTATTTATGCAMATACATATAATATATATTTCACGCAATTGAAACATTAATAATATTTAAGCACACAACATATCACTTGAGCTACATACAATATATATTTGAGTATTCAGTTGGGTACATACATACATACATACATCATACAAACATACATGTAAGTCAATATGGCGCGTATATAGGTATAGGGTATACATATTTATACCACATTATTACAACAACATATATACGTTTATCATATAATTATTTATAAGTAATTGATTACACATCGAAAACTCTAAATTACGCAAGTAAATACAAATGGCACACATATTAAGGGTTCGTACTGGAGAGGTTGGTTTTTGGTTAGATTTAGAAATGCTGTACTTAAGAGAGCACAATAATTCATAAGTTCCCCTACGCAACGTCGAGATTTTGTCCAAAAGCTTATGAGCCTGACTTCTCTTCTCGTTCTTATGAAGTTACAAAACTCTCTAATATCGGAAATTGATATTGATATTACAACAAAACTTATAGCTGAAGCTAAAGCAATCAGTGAAAGTTTTAGAAAAGAAGTAGAAATAAAGGCTAGTCATATAAAGGAAATAAAAAGTGATAAGCTCTCTTCAACACCAGTAATGGAAACAAAAGCTAAAAGTGTATAAAACCTTCCCTGGCTTTGCTAATATGATCTTGATTTTCATCAAGACACATATGCATATAACCTCATAGTAAAAGTCTGAAGTGAGATTTTAATGAATAACTGAAAAGCCGAGGAACTACATAAAATTATGAGAAAAAGGTATCCGGAAATTGTAAATTAATACTTATTTTATCGTCTTCGAAGTAATCTCCACCAGATGTAATACATTTATGCCAACGATTTTTCCAATCCTCGAAATACATTCTTTTCGTAAGCACCTTTTAGGATGGCCTTCAGCTCTTTCAGCAAATTTCATTTTATCGATCGACTGAAAACGGGTTCCTCGAAACGTTAATTTGAGGTCGAGTAAGAAGAAAAAAAAAAACGGAGACAAATTTGGTGAATGTGGTGGTTGTTAGAAGGTATTCAATGCGTTTTTAAAATCGATCACAATCGTGACTCGATGCGATGGTTCATTATCATCGTGTTCTCACGCTAATTAATTAATACTGCCGAATAGAAGTCTTTATTAAGCGTATGTCTCTGCGATATAATGTTCTCCATGAATGTGCGATGGGAGTTCACACGATCAAGCCAAAAGACCTGTTTACGGTCCTATTTTTGAAGAAAAAAAAACTGAGATTAATCGGGACGAGTCGGGCAAGAACGCGTTTCGTTCACTAAAATCATTCGAACGGACTCGCGAGAGAAATCGAGCCCTCCTGATATCTCTTCATCAATTGTCTGATGATTTTCAAGCACCACATAATTTACTTTTTTTTTTTTTTGATTTTCATCAGTTGAAGAAGAAAAGGTTGTCCAGAACGAGTTATGTCTTCAACGATTTTTCAACCGTCTTTAAGGGCTTTGTATCACTCATAGGGTTGAGTTTTGATAAAACTGGATCACCTTTTTCAACGATTCCATACACGAAATTTGGTCAGTAATGTGAGACAAATCTTTGTTCGATATTTTTATCCATTGTAAAATCGCATTCGACGTAAACAGCTGCTGTAAACAAACTGGTTAGCAGATCGCTCTCATATTTGGCACAATATTTAAGGATAGTCCTAGCAACTTAGCAAAATACATTTGTTTCAAATGTCATTTACCCGGGAAATTTAAGTTATAATTTTGGGGTGCTTTTTTGTCACAATGTATGGTAAAATCCATTGTTCTTCTTCTATGGAAATTATACTCAGTGATGTTAACCTGTTTAACTGTCTGTATAGAATTATCAGAGCCCGAATAATGCTGAGATATCCTCGGACTCGCGTATTTTAACGTCATACTGATAAACACTCAATGCTTTTCACTAAAATACTTAAGCCAAGTAGGTACTTATCTATAAACACGTTCTAAAATTTCTTAAGGATTATTTAACTGATTGGCAATAAGGAGATCCGAGTGGGGTTCCGTGGAATTCGTTCAAAATATATAATCATCAAATAAATTACTTTGAATATCACCAAATTATACTTATTTATAAATAACTGACCAGTTTCAAGAATTCCAAACAATTATTTGATACAACACAACAACAATTTCTCACAAACATCGATTTCAACACATACTTATATATGTATATATGTATAATTTGGTATATAATTGCATAGAAACGGTAATTTAGCCCAAATTTACAACTCAATTATAAATAAAGAAATTCAACTAGAAAAGAAGAAAACAGAATTTATAAAGTTGTAACATAAAAAATTGTTAAAATGTCTTAGTAACTACTAGAGCTTCGATTTGGTATTAGAGAGAAGTAAGTGATTAAACTTAGGTTTAAAAGTTTTCAATGTTTTTAAAAGTTTTTTGTTTCGTTTATCCTTTTGTGATATGCTAAATTTGTTCTGCTTAAAGTGTACTGCATAATCGTCGGTATTCATGATAACTGTACTGTGGATGGTTGTTGATCACTGTTTGTGCTTCCTTTACATACCAAGTTTAGATAATGTGTACATAACCTAGATTTTGTTTACTAAAATAAAGTTTAATATGAGAAAGTATAAAAGAAATAAACATAAAATTTACACTCGTCTTAGATATGCTCTTAATTAAGTCAATTACCCTTGTTCTGTTTTCTCATAATTCATAAAGAACACTATTTTTTGCGTTACACAGTTTTCAAATAGATCAAATTGCTGCGGTAATGGAGTGTTGTACTACTCAATTACTTACTCACTCATTTAGTATTTATTTTAATTAAGAAATTTAATATAATTAATTTAGATTATGAAAATTAAGGTCCAATGAAGAGAGTATTTTTTTTCAAAACTTATTTATTTATAATTCAGCAGTTACTAAAATGTATTACTTGATATTTTATTTAATAGGTTGACCGTTAGACCGAACTTCACCTAATACACGTCTCAAAACTTATAACTAATATATTATATTTATGAAAACGTATTGTGCAATAGCCTAGGCTTTATAATTACCTTATAGTGGAAAAATTGAATTTTACTGGACAAGCTAATCGAATTCTTTTTACGAATTTATTTTGTGAAGGCCAAAAGCCTTCGAAGATTCTGGTTTTTTGATATCAATTAGCAAACCTTCACTTTTATATTAAATTTTAGATTTAGATACACATTTCTTAGCAATTAATTATTAATTAACACTCAATTAATTTTTTCATAATTTTAAGCTCGCTAACTGAACATTACTAAATAATTAAGTGGGTTTTGCTTAATTTTTTATTAATATTAGTAAAATTAATAATAGCAATAACAGGAAAAATGAAAATAATAAGTAAGCTTAAATAAATTAGTATTTTTTCGCAGGGAAATTTTGTTTTTACTTTTCATTGTATTTTTTCGAAACTTAAATTGCTACGACTAACTTTGTTCGTTTACACCCAGTTGAAAACGCTTGACACAGACGTAATCATGTCACAGTATTAACTGTAATTGAAAAGTGTATTTTACAACTAAAGTAAACTGAATTATTGAGTAACTGTATTGTTTAATTACAAAAAAAACTGAGCGTCCATAAAACCATCACTCGTATATGGAGTCACAGTGTAAGTTGTAGAAATGAGTTGCCATCAAATTTTTGGTTCTCATTTGTATATGTTTATGTGTATGAGTGCGTTTAAAGCCTTATAATGCTAAATAGATTTGAAAAATGCATATAAAATATGAGAAGTGAAAATTTCAAATATGCTTTAAGTTCAAAATACTTAATTATATTTAGTCACCAAAGAAAAAACTATTAATTATTAAGGTAATTATTATTGGCATTCAAAAACTAAGTTACATATATAAATGTAGTAAATAGAGGTGACATACATAGGGGAAAAAATGTAAAGTAAGACTTTTCATTTCATTCTTCAATAAATATATGCATATAAAGAGTTAATAAAAATTAGCTACTTTTATGCCAATTCCAGTATTTTTTACAAGTTCTGCGCCGATATCGTACAATTTTGCAATTTTTGCTTGTATTTCTTTTAGAAATTTACTAGCGAATAAGTAAGTTTAGCTTTTAAATAGAAAATAAATAGGATGCTATATGTTTACCACTTACCTAAATGGTTCAGTTTTAACGTCTTTTTGTTGCTGTCTTGTTTCTTTTATATTTACGAATTTTTATGACGTGAATGTGTTTGTTTGGTAATTATTTGCAAAACACAGTTTTTGAGATGTTTAAATAATTTTTTTTTATTAAAACCAAAGAAATGTGAACGAAAAAATATTTTAAAATAATTTTATAAAATTATTGCTATAAATTTTCATATTTTGGTACATATAGTATACTGCCTGTCTCTTATACACATCTAGATGTGTATAAGAGACAGGCAATTGAGTCCTCATGTCAAAAAACAAAAAAACGTTAAAAAGTTTTAAAATGATTAAAAAAGAATATTATTAAATTTTTTTAAGTGAGAATAATATTTAAAAAAACACAATAAAAACAACTTGTTGTATTTAATTAATAATATATATATGTGTATGTAAATAGTAGCTGTTATATTTTAATTAAATTGTAGAACAACAATTTCAAAATTACAATTTTCGTGCAGTACTGCAAGCAAGCGACAAAACTGTTTGCGGAAATGCGCGGCGCAGCGTAGCGTGAGACCCTGCCATGAAACGCTGCGCGGCGCGATTCGCGCAGTACCACCGCTTTGCGTCGCTATAAAGCGCATGCGCAAGTGACGCTGTGCAAGTTGTATATACATAAGCGAAAACAAACTAAATAATTGTAAACTTGAAACAAAACTGCATTGAAGAAATAAAAAAATAAAAATATTAAAAATAATATGA